TATGAAAAGAAAAATAAAGAGAAAATCTTATTTTGGCCAACTTTTGGAGCTCCGATAACATGCAAAAAGAGGTAGAATAAGGCATATGATGAGTGGAATCAAAACTAGGCCATGAGGTAAATCTAACGATGTGAAAATGAGGCGAGAAGGGCTTGAACATATGGGTTTAAATCTGAAAATAATAAAAAATAAAAAATAAAATGAGAGAAAAATTTAATTTTTGGCTAACTTTCGGAGCTTCAACGGCACAAAAAAAGAGGTGAAATAAGGCGGATGAGGGCTAGAATGAAAACTAGGTCATGAGTTGAATCCAACAACGCGAAAATGAGGTGAAACAGAGTTATGACAAGAGAGATATAAAACTTGAACATGTGGGTATGAATCTGAAAATTTTGCCCAGATTTCTATTAGTTTAATTAGACCGAGATGGACAAAGGGGTTAAATTATGACACGAAAGTAACATTAGGGTTTTAATTGTTATAATTGAAATCTTGGGGTAAATTGAAAAACAAGCAAAACCCCTTTTTTTTTTTTTTTTGTAATTTACGCTAAAAAATTCTATCTTTTGTGGTTGGGACTCTAATTAGTTTTTTTTTTCTTTTTTTTTTTAAATACCACTTTAAGTCATCAAGGTGATGGTAGTAGATTGTGTTCGTTTTTAATATGATCAAAATACTACCAAAATAAAAAAATCAAAATACTACTCTAATCAGGCATACTTTTTTCGGCTCGAGGGGTTGTCAATGAAGCACTAGCTTTATGCCCTAATTTTAACAAAAAGTCTCATTTTGAGTTGAAGTCTTATAGGTAATTATAAGAAAAAAAAAATGTTAGTAACTTTTTCAATGGAAATTTACCAATAAATCTCATCTCAGAAACAAGTATTTCAATTAGTTTCAAATTTTTTTTATTGATCTGTTAAGTCTTACTAGTGGGGAGTTTCGTTTCATGTGGTCTTATTTTCGATTTTGGTAGTGTTTTGGTAGATGACTATACCCTTTTATTAATGTGACAGGTATCATGTGACACTCCAACATGGCGAGTATGATGTGACACTCTAAAAAAAATTAAAAACTGCCTCCGTTTGGGAAGTGGGTTGGCTTTTTGGCTTTTTGGCTTTTTTGGCTATTTTAGCCTGGGCTTAAAAGCTTGGTTTGGGAAGGGCTTTTTGGCTTTTTGGCTTTTTTGAGTTTTTTTGTGAGAGAAGAATGTAATGATTATGGGTTGGATGTGATGTTTTGTTTGTTATGGCTAAAATAGCCTATTTTGTTTTTTGTGGCTAAAATAACCAAAAAAGCCTGCAAACCCACTTGCCAAACGCAGGCTAGTGCACTTGACATGTGACACCCTAAAAAAATTAAAATTCTTTAGTGTACTTTTTTTAAATATAACATGTGACATTCCAACATAGCAGGTACGATGTGACACTCTAAAAAACTAAGTATTCTTTAGAGTACTTTTCCTAAATGTGACGATGTGGCTGGTGTGATGTGACAAGTACAAACTCCTTAGTGTGTTTTTTTCAAATGTGGCGATGTGACAGGTATGGTACAACACTCCAAAAAAACTAAAAAATTCTTAGTGTACTTTTTTTAAATGTGATGATATGAAGAGTATGGTGTGAAACTCCAAAAAAAATTAAAACTTTTTAATGTATTTTTCCTAAATGTGATGATGTTGCGGGTATGATGTGACAACTAAAAACTCCTTACTGTACTTTTTTCAAATGTAATGATGTGGTGGATATGGTGTGATACTCTAAAAAAAATTAAAAACTCTTTAGTGTACTTTTTCCCAAATGTAACATGTGACATTCTAATGTGGTCGATATGATCACTACAAGAAAATACATTTTTCGCGACCACTTTTGGCTACCAAATGGCTTTTTGTCGCCAAAAGTTATGGAATTGGCTACAAAAAATAATATTAGTCGGCAAAAGTCAAATTTTTAGATACTAATTTTTTTTAGTCGGGGAATATTGATTATTGGTGACTAAAAAAAATTTAGTAGCTAAAAATATTACAATTTGCGACTAAAAGAAATTTAGTCGCCAAAATGCCAGAAATTGGCGACAAAAAATAAATTTAGTCGTTATAGGTAGAGATTTGGCTACTAAAACCTTTAGTCAGCAAATGTAAGATAAAAAATTAATTTTTATCTTTGGCAACTAAAATTTTGGTCGCCAAAAGTTGATTTTCAGCGACGGAAAATAATTTTAGTCGCTGTAGGTATAGATTTGGCTACTAAAACCTTTAGTCGGCAAATGTAAAATAAAAAATTAATTTTTATCTTTGGCGACCAAACTTTTGGTCGCCAAAAGATTGTTTTTAGTGACAAAATTGAATTTTAGTCGCCAAAGAAGTAAAATGTTTTGGAGGGAGACCTTAAAAATATTTAGGGGGATTTATAAAATACCTTTAGCGACCAATATCGATAGTCACCAATAACCACTTAAACCACACATCTCACGGTCTCACCAAACCAAACCCAACCCTGAACCATTAATGGCGCCTCTCTCTCTCTCTCTCTCTCTCTCCAGCGTCCTTCTCCCTCTCCCTCTCCCTCTCCCTCACCGCCGCTCCTCTCCCCTCCACTCTCACCGGCGCTCCTCCTCACGTTGGCCGGCAACCGGAACACCGATTCACCTCCTTGTTGGTCACCGTTGCCTGAGATCCTCTCTCTCCCTCTCGGCTCTGTTTTTCTGTCTCACAAAAACCCATACAGCTTCACATACACGCACACACATGGGTTCTTCAAATAGGTAACAAGGTATGATTTGTAATGCATAATACTCTATTGGGTCATTCACTCTTTGCTCTAATTCTAGCTTTCCATTAATGGGTTCCATCAATTTTGTTGAAGGGCTGCCCTAAAGCTTCCAGCAGCAAGATTTACCAGATCATTTCCCCTGAATGAAATGTTACAGTGAGGGACTTTACGTCACTCAATTTGATTCATTGTAGGCTTGCAGTATTCCATGGTTAGGTTTAGTTTCTTCTTTATTAATGGGTTTCTAATAATTTTCATTGCAGAGAGACAGAGTCGTGTTGCCATTGTTGTTAAGGCTACAGGCGAAAGCTCTGAATCTTCGACTTCTCTGAGTGTTGTTAAATCCGTACAAAATGTTGTGAGTCCCCCCTCTCTCTCTCTCTCTCATAATTGTTTTATTGCCAATTGTTTTTAATAAAAAAATAGTGAAACTATTTGGAAAAGGTTGCAATTTGGGTCTATGATCTTGCACTTTCTGATTCAAGCTGAGTCTGTGAACCTCTGTTGTTATGAAGTAAAAAGGTTGCAATTTGCAATTCTTCTTTATTTGAATTTCTTTGATTATAATGATTGCATAATTTGATGATTCTGAAACAAAGACTAGGTATAATTCATCTTTATGGGTAATCAATGATCAACTTTGATTACATAATTTGATGATTACATAATTTCTTTGATTATGATAATTAGATTATGCCTTTGTCATGTATTCCCTGAAGGTCTATCACAGTGTTGTCAAAGGCGCGCCTAGGCGCACGCCTAGGCGCAAGGCGATCGAGGTCAGTATCTGCGCCTGTACAGGTACCAGGCGAGGCGGTTGAACAGGCGCTCGCACTTAGACGCGACTTGAATCAAGGCGAGAGAGGCGCAAGTCGATCGCCTAGGCTGCGAACTCAGTGTTTCAAGTCGTAGATTGATCTAACGATCAGATAACCTTTCGAAATGGCTCGTAATCACAGAAGGATTAGACAATGTAGCATATGAGACAAATTAGAACCCTGAATCGACGTATTACGAACGTGTTCCAAAAACGAAAGTCTCGACTTCGACTTCTCGCGACTCGACTACGATCGACTCGACTTCGATCGACTCTCGCAGGTTCGACTTCGACAGGTCGGACGACTTCGCAGGCCGAGTTCAACTTCGATGACAACGTCTGGGCTTCGCAGATCCGACTCTCTCCCCTTCTCCTTCTTCTTCGATCGTAACCCTTCTCGCAGGTCTCTGTTTTTTTTGTTTTTTTTTTTTTTCTTTTCTTTTCTTTTACCTTCGTTGAGAGGTGATCTGTTTTTATTTTTTATTTTTTATTTTTTTTTTTTTCTTTCTTTCTTTGATTATGATAAATAAATAAATAAATAAATCCATAAAAATTAATTAATTGATAAATATAATATCATAAATAACTTAATTAATTGATTATGATAAAGTTAATAATTCATAAATAAATTGATTACTGATAAATAATAAATAAATTTTTTTTTTCAATTATTTAGACTTTCATAACCCTGATTATTATACATAAACAATAAATAAACTTAATTAATTCATACATGACCAATACCATAAATAAAATAGATATTTTAACATTATATTATCGATTATATTATACTCGAATTGATTCATTCATTATACTAGAAATTTAATTATTCACCATTCATTAAAAAAAATTGAAAATTGATTCATAACATTAATTAATTCATACATACATACATTAAATTACATACTTATCATTAAGATAGAAATTGAATGTAACATAATTACACCATTAATTCAAAAAATTGAAAATATTGATTCATACATTAAATTAATCATACATTACATACTTAAATTACTATAACACCGATACAACTATAAATGTATTTACATTAAATAGAAGATGAATAATTATATATGAATAAATATCGATTAATTAAAATGTAATTTATTATATACATTACATTATCATATACATAATAATATATTACATTAATTATTAATAGAATTGAAATGAACATAATTCACCTTAATTAAAAAAAATTGAAAATGATTCATAACATTAATTAATTCATACATTACACATTAAATACATACATTATATCATTAATAGAAAATTGAATGTAACATAGGATAAAATGTAATTGGAAATGTAATGTACATTAATTAATATATTCATATTAATTAAAAAAATAGAAAAATTGATTCATACCATTACATTCAAATTAATTAATTCATCACATACATGCATTACATTCATTATACTGAAATATTTTTTGTTATTTATTTTTGTGTTGTGTAGTAAGTACTAATAAAAAATGACATCGGAAAGTAAGAGAAAAGATCCGGGCGTGGCAAATATGCCATTTGGTGGAGAGAAAGTAATTTAAAACAAGTTGAGTGTAATTTTTTGTGGTAAGTATCAAAATGGAGGTGCTTTTGGGTGGAACACACCTTGCGGGAGGTTATAGGATGTCACGCTTGCCGAAGTGTCCTTCTCATGTTAGAGAAAGAGATTAAGAGTTCATGTCCAAAAAAGAACAAAAGAAGAAATGACATGTTGTTGATTTTCGATGAACATGGACATGGAAGATGAAGATGAAGTAGATTGATGTCGTTGAGATCAATGTCAATCAATCCACCGCACACTTGACAGTAGTATAGCCAAGTACATCCAATCCAAATCCAAATCAAAAAACGCAAAAAGAGAAAGGCCTAGGTGTTTACTTCACCCAATCCTGAATCAGGGTGAAAATCGAAAAGCACCAAGCAAAAGGAAACCAATCAAAATTTGATGCAAATGACCCTTACAAAAAAATGCGAGCTGAGCACACTAACAAAGATTTGCAAGGTGGATGTATGAATGCTGGCCATCCTTTTAATAGCAGTAATTTTATGAGAGTTTGGACCAATGATTGAAGCCATTGGCCCAATATGGTCCTAGGTATGAAGCCACCTGGATCATACCTGAAGTGCGGGTTACCACTCAAAAAGAGTGAAACATACTGAAGAATTTGATAGTATATAAAGAGATGTGCAAAATACGGGTGTTCCTAATGGCAGAGGTGGACTGATAAGAGAGGAAGGACATTGAATAACTTTTTATTATTGTCCAGAGGAACCATGTTTGTGATGGGCAAAAGAATCAATTCAAGTTCTTTGTCATAAAGAAGAGAAGTATAATGAATATTTTCGAAATCATTGAAAAAGTGGGATGTTCATGCATCGACCTTTACAATGCAGCTGCCACCATTTTCTTAACCAGAATTCTTTTACCCAAAAGCGTTAGAGGTGCAAGAGATACTGAAGTGTGCATGGGTTTTTTATGATGCATGCAAAGGTTGTCCCGGAATGTCACTGTCCAAGTTTGATCATTCTAATGAATGATAATTATATGAAGGCTGAGAGTCTTTTTGGCAAGTCTGTTGCGATAGGCAAAGAAATTACGAAGAGCAACAGGTATAATTATATGACCATAGGTTTATTTTAAGTAATACTTTGTAAACTTAATTTTGGTAACTTATTTCTAACTAGTGGATTATCACAGCTGATTGGTGGGCATCCATTATGGTTCTTATACTCCAAACTTGCAAACTTTTGCCATAAAAGTCCTTAGCCTAACATGTAGTTCATCGGTTGGTGAAGAAATTGGAGTGTATTCGAACTGTGAGATTTAACATCTACTATTTTTGTTCAATTAAATATTTTTTATTCTAATTATATAGAATTTAAATAATCTTTTTTATATTGCAGCTTCTGCAAGAAAGAATAGATTGGAACAACAACGTCTAATGTTAGTGTAATGTCAAATACAATAGAACATTGGATTTGGTATGACATGCGCAACCCTTGATCCCATACTTTCAAAAATATTGATGAAAGCAATGAGTGGTTCTTGCGAGGATGGATGGAGAATCAGATGAAGATAATGAGCTTTGTGTTTGAATGATGATGATGGCTTGAACGTGGGCCATGTTGTAGAGCTTCTGGGTAGAAAAGTAGCCATGCAAGTAGAGCAAGTTTCAGCTCAAAGGCACAACCGGGAATCAAAATCATCACATGACTCCTTCAATTAATGTGAAAGAGGAAGCGGTCAGATGACAGCAGGAGGAAGATGTTGAGGGATAACAAATCAACTGATGAGAAGAAGAATGATAGTTTGCTTGCCATTGATGTTGAGAGATGATTGACTGACACCGCTAACTACTCTCTTTCTTTTGTATTGATGTTTTTAAGTGTTAAGACATTATATTAGTATTTGTTGGATATTTATGTTTTAGATGTTTAGTGTTTTGTTTTTATTTTATTGAATTGTGGATTATTTGATCTTTAAAAATTAAATGTTATGTAATAATGCACATTTCATGGTTTGAGAATTATCTATATTTTGTCTTGAATCTTGATTCTTTTTTTTTTTAAAAAATGTCTTAGTAAAATATGAATGTTAGTCTATATTCAATTTTTCTATTTTTTACGAATACTGTGCGCCTTAACTTCAATAAACCCGCCGCCTCGCCTTGCGCCTTGCGCCTAGGCTCCAAGAGACCTTGCGGCCGCTTGTGAGCCCTTGAGCCTTTAAAACACTGGTCTATCACTTGTTCTATTTTTTAAGATACTTAAAATACCCCTATGAGGCCCAATATTACATTTTATATTTTGTGCCACGTTAGGCAATCCTCTTAATGGGTAATCAGTTATACTTTGAGTTGAATGTGAAAAACTACCCTTCATCGATTGTATGCTGCTTCTCCAGACTTGTGTCCACATACCTCCCTCTGTGTGTGTGTGTTTGTGTGTGCGCGCCGCGTGTTTGGGGGAGGGCCTTATAGTCATCTACATCAACTAACCTTTCATGTTTCAATATCATGGATCTATGAAATTTCTTGAATTTCCCAAATTTGAGGATTTTTTTTAAAACATTCATTTCCAAAAGACATCAAAAATTGAATATGAATGGAATTGGGATATGTCCAGAGTTCCCAACATTTCCAGAGTTGCGTATACTAATCTTCCCTAAGTATATTAGGTCCTTCTCTATTAATTTCAGCTTTGATGACACCAATAAGAACAAATATTATCAGCCATATATTAATTAATTCTGTTAATTGTTTGTTTTCTTTTCACAAATAGAAGGTGGGAAACCACAACCATGATTCTTTCTCCTCCATATCCAAAGGAGTGGTCAAAATTGAAAAAAGCCTAGCCAGTGTTTTTTTTTTT